AATACGGGACGGTTCCGTATTTTACGGGACGGGTTGAAACCCTAGTCGACGTATTTGTGAGAAGACATTCTCGGTTGTGAACTTAAATAACGGACTCTCACTTACGAGACATCTTGCGCATCAGTACCGCTGCCTTTGAGCCAGAACTGGCCTATGTGCTGCAGTCCGGACCTCAGTATCACATTAATGCAGACAAGTCATTTGTCATTTACAGTAAGTCTCTGAATAAATTTTGTTTTTGTATTTTAAGATAAGTCATAAATTCAGACAAGTTTTCAGTTTTAGCCTTTAGCCTGTTCTGAAGAATGTGTGCTTTAGTCCAGAGTCATTAAGATTTCAGCCCAAAGTGCTGACTGACAGGAGGCTACCAACCATGCTAGAGACACTTCCTCTTATTTTACAGTTTAAATGAAGGCACTAATTCAACATGAACCAAACTACAGCGCCCCTACTGGGTACTATGAGTAACAACCTACAATCGGCATAAATAAAACATGGAACGGACATTTACACGGCTGATTAGTGGGTGCACTCACGGCTGCACACAGCAATGGGTTTTTATATCTTGCTTCATTTTGTTCCATCTCTTCTGAAAATTTTAGGCTGGTGGGGATCTCTAGAGGATCCAGCAAAGCTCTTTGTTTTGTCACAGACACGTCAAAGAGCATGAGCGATGACATTGAGGTGGTGAAGACCGTCACGTCCACCATCATCAACATTGAGGTGGGAACAGAGAACGAACCGTCCGTTTACATCCTCGTCCCATTCAACGATCCAGGTACGGCTTTAGCTTCTCCATATTTAGACACATTTTCTGTCTGAGAAGGAAGAAAACTAAAAACTGATTTGTTTTGTTTGCCAAGGATTTGGGCCAGTAATTCGTACAACGGATGCAACACTTTTCAAGGATATTGTGAACCATCTAACAACTACTGGTGGAGGAGATGTTGAGGAAATGAGTCTTTCAGGACTGCAGGTAATGCTCTCTCTGTTCGACTGTCTTTAAAACCTCAGTTTTTACTGAAACTGATCTTTACTCTATGCATCGTCTTACAGCTGGCGTTAACTAGTGCTCCATTCAACTCTGAGATCTTTCTCTTCACGGATGCTCCTGCTAAAGACAAAGATTTGAAGAACACGGTGATTGCTCTCATAGAGCGGACCCAGACAGTGGTAAGTGTTTGCATGCTAATTACAGTGCATATTTTTGTAGAGCCTTGCACAGAGGATATATCTCAAAGTTTTTTACATTCTGTCACAGAAACTTTTGTGTTAGTATTCTCCCCCTTTACTCTGATGCATCAAAATGAAATGAAATGGTAGACCAGTGTAGTTTAAATCTGGTGATTCTGTGAAAACCTTTGATGTTTTTCAGAGAACTTAAAGTGTCTTAATAACAAAGAGACACACATAGTTGAAATGTTAAAGCAAGTTTGTTTAAAATGATTTTGACAAGTCAAATTACTCTTTGGAAAGAGTGTTAAGAAGAAATTTTTAGTTTGTTGCAAGTCATACATTAAACATGTGTAATACTGATCAAAGCTGAAATACTTTTGCTAATATGTAAAACCTGATTGGTGGAACACTAACATGCATCCTCATGGTCATGCATGGTTGTGGCAGCATCATGCTGTGGGAGAGGCTCAGTTCAATCCCCAGAGGTGCAACATCAACATACATGCAGCTGTAACTGCAGTGAAAAGTGGTACTTCATGGGTTTTCTGAATTACTGACTTTTCCAGTTAAGATTTTTGTAAAACATGATTTTCTTTCTTTCCAGTTGTGCACTGCTTTGTTTTGATCAATCACACAAAATCCTAACAAAATAGACTGAGCTTGGTAACTCAAAAAGTGCAAAAAAATAAAATTAAAGTCAAAGGTACATGAAGACTATTTTAGATGATCCACTACATGTGCAGAATTTTTTTTTCATTTCTTGTGTCGAATAACATTGTTTTTGTTTTGTTTTGTTTTTTTCTTCCCCAGGGTAAACTCTCAGTTTAATTTAAATATTTGTTTTCTTATTTCAGGTCAACTTTATGATTACAGACTCCGTTGTTACTAATCGCCGCAGGAGAAGAAACAGCAACCTGCTGCAGACCAGAGCAATCTCAGAGTCTGACGCTCAGCTGTACAGAGACCTGGCTCAGGCGTCGGGCGGTCAGGCCATCGAAGTGACGAAGGCCGAACTTCCTGTTGCCGCAGCAACCATAGTCCAGTCTGTCAGGTCCTCATTGGTAATGTCAGCCCAGATCTAACTGTGTTTGTGTAAAAGCCTCCTGGTGTAACCTCTTACTGCGATCCGTCAGGTGACCCTTCTGCAGGCGTCCAGGAACCCGGGACAAACCGACAGTTTCACCTTTATTGTTGATGAAACTGTTATAAACCCGACAGTTTACATCACCGGCAGATCCCTCACTTTCACTCTCACAAGCCCGACAGGTGACACCACCGCTCTGTTAAATTTGAGCCAACACATCGATTTGTTTCGGTTTTTAAAATATACAGTTTGCAAAAAAATATTTATAATAGGATTAGAAAGGTAACTCGTGTTGCAACATTTACTTAAAGTATGCTGATTACTTTTTTTTCTCAGGTGTAACTCAGGAAAGCACCGACTCCACAGGCTCATTGATCACTTCTTCAGAGACTGTGGGAAACTTCATAACGGTGCGATTACTAAAGCAAGTTGGACAGTGGGCAATAAGAATGGTGTCAAACAACCCCTACACCCTGAGAGTCGTTGGTGAGATTTCCACACGTTAGCGACCACTTTAGCATTTACGCTAACTTAGCATCTGCTCTTTTTTAGGCACCGCATTGAAGTTAGTTTCAAGTTGGATATTCGATATTCGAGCTCGGCGGAGTAAGCGGCGTTTAGCTCAAGGTTGATCCGATTTATGAACGCTAATGTCGGTCAGCGGTTCTCTATCGCTCCCGGCCGCAGCGCCCGAAGGTTCACTTAGGGACTGTCGACAAATTCCCGAACCAAACACTCCTGTCAAACAAATGTTAATCAATGCCATGAATTGTAACCAAATAACTAATTGTCAGTGCTAATTCATGCTTTTACATGACACACAATATCATCTAATAAATTTTAAAGTCATATACAATATTTTCAATAATTTTAATATTAAATAATATGTTTTCTTCAATAGCTTCCAGATCATCTGACCTATTTACTCAGAATCACTTTGAAATCTTTCTACTAGTCAGTAGAGATGAGGCACAGACATTTGTTTTCCATTTTAAGCCATTTTCCTTTTTATTTTAGGAATTTTTTTTATCAAAATTGATGGTTTTTCTTCAAAATAAAATTTTGTACTTAACAGAAGAAAACCCAAATGTTAGTTTTGTTCTCAGCCACTTAACACACACTATCATGTGTATGTCTTAAGTATTTTTCTTTTCTGCGACGAATATCCACAATTCTGATACTGTAACAAATGCAATGTGTGGAATCTCCATTTACATTTCCTTTTTATAATAAAATTAGTCAACAGCAATTTAAAAATGTATTTTACTCAGTTTATGTACCTGTGTTACACCTGTCATTGTATAAGCATGTCATTTAAGTAAACAGGAGTAAAATAGAGTAACACATCTCTGGTAAAATACGTATTTGTGACCTAAAAGTTACGTTTTAAAAACTAAAGCTAAAGGAAGAAAAGTGATTCTGCAAAAAACAATGAAACTGTCGTGATCTGTGTTTCTGTGTGTTTATTTTTGAGTTCTTCTGTGTTCAGTCCTGTGTAGTCCTGTGTTCAGTCCTGTGTAGTCCTGTTCCCTGAGTCTCTGTCCTCCCTGTTGATTGCTCCCCAGGTGTGTCGTATCCCCCTGATTACCCTGTGTGTATTTAGCCCCACCTGTTGTCTGTGTTCGTTGTCAGATCCTCGTCATTTGTAACTGTTTCCCTGTGCCGTCGTGTCCCACCCTCGTCTCACGTCTATGTCTGTTCCTGTGCTGCCAGTGATTTTCAGTTGTTTCTCCTGGTTTGTCATTAAATTCATCATTTTCACCTTCATCCTGGCTGCCTGCGTCTCACCTCACCAAACCCTGAACCATGACAGAAACGGCAATGGACAGAACGTGCCATTGCTAGACGTTCTGCCACAAAGAGATTTTTACAATGTAACAATCTCTCGACATTTTTAAAACATTTCTGTTTCTTTCACTGCTTACAATATTCCTTTTGCTCCTTCACTTAAATTGTTGTGTGACTTTTATATTAGTCTGTTTCAGCAGAAAAAAATTGACCAAAACTGACAGAGAAACACTTTTAATCACACTTATTACAAAACCTCAGTCTGGATTTACACATTCACGCTTACCTCATGTTTAACTTTAACTCATCTATTAGATTTGCTAAATTTTTAGTTATTCAGAAGCAATAAAATGCTTATTAGATTTTTGTATTTGCAGGTGAGAGCTCTGTTGACTTCCTGTTTGACTTTGTCGAGCCGTCTCAGGGTCCTTTCGGTGGATTCGATGCTCTCGACACGCGACCCAAAGCAGGTAGACTCCTGCTAATCTAAACTTTAACCGTGATTAGCTCAGCAGTAATCACTCTCTGTTTTGTTCTTTAAAGGCGTCAGTGGCACTTTGTTGGTGACTTTATCAGGAAGTGACTCTGCTGCTGTGACAGAAGTTGCTCTGGTGGAATCGACGAAGGGGTCGGAGGAGACGTTGGGAGTTGTGTCGCAGGGCAGCGGGAACTTTTTAGTCCAGGTTGATGTGATGCCGACGGTGGAGTTTGTAGTGAGAGTAAAGGGGAGAGTTCAAGGTTCTGCTACTGACTTTCAGAGACAGTCGCCCACCAACTTCAGAGCTTCTAATCTGACTCTTACAGTGAGTGAAAGTGTGGCATAAAACTCAAGACCAAAAACCTGATAACCAATCAAAGGTTAACATTTAAGCTCTTTTCTTCAGGCCAACTCAGACAGCATCTTGACTGCAGGAACCATGACCTCTGTGCCCTTCACTGTGGCTTCAAGTAGAGCCGATGAAAACATAACCATCCGAGCCACCAACTCGAGGAATCTTGACTCGACGTTTCCGACCGTTTTATTGGTGGAAAGTGGGAACAGCACTAATGGCACGGTGACCCTGCTGGCTCCGCTGAGCATCCCGTCCGGATCCGACGTCATCCTCACCATCGTGGCCGAGACGCCGGACGGAAGTGACACCAACTACATTGTGCTGCGATTCTCTGTAGTAAACTCGGTAATAAAGCCACAATTAAGTCCTTCAAGCAGTTCTTTAAAATATTCAAACCGGTTCTCAGACCAACGCTGGTTCTATCACAGTTCAACAAATAAACAATGCGATGCTTTTCTTGATGCATTTAATGCAACTAATGTTCAAAATTACAACCAATGCCATTGAAACATAGTTGCTAAAAGGAGAGATGGGTAAATATATTCAGCAATCAAATGCTTACAGGTTCTCTGTTAATGACTCGATTTAAACTTTCTGCAGATTGAGTTGGTCTGAAATGCAAATTTCTATTACAGCTCACAAGAAAAGTGGAAACTTTGCATATAATGGCTGCATGGTGTCACCCATCCCTACTCATGTACAGACTGTTATAACTACTGAACCCTTCTGCAGTCATTAGCTCATATATTATCAAAAATGTAATCAAATCATCTTGTTTTCTCCACAGTTAAATGATTTCACCCAACCAGCGTGTCAGCTTCTCAGCATGCAGTCCGGCTGTGTCGAGAACTGCAGCCTGTCCGCTTGGGTCGCCTCCGTCAGAGTGACTGACGGCGACAGCGGGGCGGGCGTCGAACGCGTCAGCCTCATACAGGGCACTGGCGTCTTCAACACCAGCCTGGAGGCCGGGAACGAGAACGTAACGCTGGTGTCCTACGTCGCCTCCTGCTGTGCGCCTGTAATGCAGCTGCTGGTTGTGGACCGGGTCGGCAACGTTGGCACGTGTCAGTTCACTGCCAGGGACTCCGGGTCCGCTGTGGCCTCGCTGTCTTTCTTTCTATGTCTCATCATCATGGGGTTTGGTCAACTTTTACTCAGTGGATTCATGAAATGAATGATTCTAATAATACTTTATAACTTATAAATACTTTATCAACCACTCTGACAAATCTAAACCATCTGGAAAGAAATTCAGGAATTTAAAATGCAATTACTTTCTTTTTTTATTGATATTTGCACTGATGTTTTTATTAGGGATGCAATGATAGAAAAATGTGGATAATCGATATCCAATAATAATGCTGTAATGGCTGATAACCAATATCTACTGATATTATATATATTTCACTCCAGTTTCGACACTTTTGGCAAAAAAAAACCCAACCAAAACAGAAAAAAAAAATCGGCAGTTTTATTTATCGCACCGATTCCAATATGTTAAAAAATGGCTAATATTATCCAGTACCGATATTGGTGCCGATGTAAAGAATATAATCTGATTTAGAAAGAGATGATTTAACAGATGGCTGAGCATACTTCAATTGCTGCAGAAAGGAATTGAGTTACAAGAGTTGAACTTTAATCCCTTATGCTGTGTCATGAACCCATGGATGGAGGGGTGAGAGGCTGCAGGATAAACAGGAAAGGATGCAATGATGTTAACTGTGAGATAAGGTCAACTGTTGTCACAGAATCTGGTGATTAGAGGAAACCACCCCTGTTTTCCACTGAATCGTATGATACGATAACCGCTCACTCTTTAAATAGAAAAGCCAGAGAGTATAAAAATTATGAGAAAGCGGAACCAGGCGTTCTTTGCTCCTGTGTTCGAGTCGACAGCCACATGAAGATGCAGAATCAACGGAGCCCTGAAACCCTGAGGAGATGGAGAACATCGCACTGCTTAGAAAGGAACGAGATCCGTTAGCCCACACCCCGGGTTTCTGATTAGACAGCTGTCCTACGCTCAACCCGAGGATCACAACCGGGCTGCAGCAGACTTGGAGAACACGGAGATCACGGAGTGTCAAGGAACTGAATCCACAGAGGACAGTCAGCAGCTCAACTTTGTGCTGTTCTAAAAAGGATCTTGCCACACCAGGATGGGACTCAAGGATATAAAGCTTTCTGCTGCTGAGATCATTTCAACATCTGGGTATGAGAGGAATTGCATCCCAAAGCTTCGCTTCTCCATTCTAATGGCACAGTATAGAGATATAGGTTAGGAAAGTTATGTGTGATTTTTAATCTCTTATATTAAAATGTTAATTCCATCATTAAAAGAAACTGCATGCCTATTTCCCCCTGCAAAAACTTGCTAATAAATGTATTATAAATTCTAATTAGAGTTGTGGACAGTTAAATTAATTGAGTCACTTCTTGAGTTACTTCTTCTGATTAAAGTAAAATTAATGGTCATGATTCTAGAAATTAGGGAGCTTCGGACGTTTCTTTGGTGTCTATAAAATAATGACCTTGGGACTCACGCTGAGTCTCTAAAATGTATCCAGACTGTAACAAGTTCACGTTGTTGAAAGAGAGAGGGGGCTACCGTTAACGGGAGCGGTTTCTGGAACGAAGTAGTTGCAGGGCCACTCAGCTGACTGTTACATTAACTGAAAAAGGTTGTAGCTTCTGGACAGGAGGCAGTCAGAGTCTGGACACACCTCTCTCGCCGCCGGCTTAAACAGATTGTCTATAACACAATATGTTTGTCTTTTTCTTATAGTAGAGATGAATTAATGTGCTATTAGTCACAGTGTTCACACCATGCAGAGTATTTCAAAAGCAACTAAACATAGTGGAGGTTGTTTTTTTTTTTGTCAAGTGTATCCAAGGTGAAATTTAGTTGATAAAATGTCCAACACTGAAAAAATGAAGCAGCCCGTTTTAAAAAAAAACAGATTTTATTGTGGTTGTGTCTATTTTTACTCTTTTACAGAACACAAACATGTTTTTCTTTTGACATAAGTTTGATATTTTATCACCTGTTTTCTTTAGTCACTATTTACATTTTGAAACGTATTCGGAGAAATCTGGTAACATCTGACCATCTGGTACATGTGTACGCTCTTTTCCTTTCTTTTCGCTCTCTTTACTTATTTTTATTTGGGGGGAAGAATGAAAAATGAAAATCTAAGAGCCCCCTGCGTACACATGCGCTGCCATCTTTTTCCGTTAAACTGTAAACATTGCTAACTTTTATCCTCACATCTGACTTGCCTATGTCCTTCAATTGCACAGTCCCACAGCTCCACAGTTTTCAGTCCATTCAAATCAATAAAGCTATGACTTCACAAATGCATTGCCTTTGCCATTAAGGTACATTCTTTTCAAACTCGGATTAGAATTTTGCAGAAATGAACACAAAGCCTCTGAGTTCGGCTGGAATTTGATTATTTAACAAATTATTTGGATTATTTAACGATATGTTCAAGGAGGCAAAAGAGTGATTTCTTGCCAGTGCAGTGGAAATACATTTCTATAATAACAGTGATTCTGAAATTCAGACCAGTTCTTTAGCTGATGTGTTCACTTGCACATCAGGCAGTACCGTTGGCGTACTGGGAAAGCTTATTCTCCAAGTCGCAGATCCGCTTCTCCTGAGACAAAACTGTGGCCTTCAGATTCTGAATCTCCTCCAGTAGCCTCTCAAGCAGCTGAGGCTGGACAGGAGGAAACAGGAAAGACGGGAAACAAAGGGAGAAAAGAAAACAGAAAGTGATGAAAGGGGGGAGAATGATGAAGAAAGAAGGGAAAAGAAGGTCAAGGGTAGTGAGAAACTAAACCAAAACAAAGATGGGTGCTTTGAAGGGAAAAGTTGTGCACAATAAGAAAAAGGTTCAACAGAGAGGGAAATGTTTGAAAAGCCGTATAAATGTAAAAACATTTATTTAGATGTAGTTCAAGCGAATCCCTGTGAAAACTAACAAATCAGCAGATCGAGCTTTGGATGCTCATCATGTTCAAAACTTACAGGCAAGCTGTTGGTGTCCAAGGCGGACATGCTACGTCTGGTGGTGGGTCTGGAGTCCAGAACGTTCTTCTTTGCCACTTTGAGCTCTCGGCTCTTCGGCGGCACGTAGCCGTCCCTCATGGAGATGAGGATGGGATCTTCGTCACGGCCGTCCAGCCACTCTTCAGGCTCCATGGCGGGATCAGGCCCTGCCGTGTCAGGGTAAAGGTCATCCTGGAAGAGGTCCGACTGGCCCACACAGAGGCAAGCAAGAACCAGAGAGAGATTTTAGTCTGTTTCTGTTTTTAACAGTAAACTGTAGATCGCTGTTGCCACCAAAAAAAATTAATCAAGTAAAGGTAAAAAGTAGCCATTACAAAAGATTACTCAAGAATGAAATAGTATTTGGTAAAAAGTCTACTCAAGTACCAAGTAACTAAGTTATCAATGATTTAATATTAAAAAATTACATCATCAGATGGACCAAATTAAAGTTCAGTGGAAATTTTGGTATTTTATGTATGAAAAATGATAATTCATATGAATAACAAAAAAGGTTTAGAGTCACTTACTTTTCTAGGAACTGTCATGGTGATGGGCTCGCACTTTTTGTCAAGTAGCTTGTATAACCTGGGAAAGAATAAAGGAATAACAAACAGGAAAAGCAGAGCGATCCATCAGCCTCGTGTTTGTTTCCACTTTGATTTTTTAAGGATGGCAAACGATTTGCAGAAATGAGCGTTCATAATGTAACAGAAATTCATAAAAGCCTTTTTTTATCAAGGTGTGTTGAAACCTATGGTTGAAACAACTTGTAAGTAGCATAAAATGCACTTTAGGGGATGATAACAGAGAAAACACAACTTCTAAGGTTAATTTAGTCCAGCCTCCACTAACCATTTTCTACATCAAATTAAGTCGCATATTTTCACTTTTAAAAACAGCGGTAGAGCAGCAGTCGTCTTACCGTGCAATCTCACATTTGGTGACGTCCACTCCTCTCTTTGGCATGAAGCCCATCCCTCTCTGCGGCTCTTTACTGCTGAAGGTGCTGAGGTAATGGACGTACGGCGGCTCCTCCGTGATCTCAAAGTAACGGATACTACTGTCCCCCTGCACGGAAAAACCATTTAAACTAAAACATCTCTCCCAATCAGAGCCAGAAATATAGCACATATTTACAAAAGAAGCCGCATTCAGTGCTTTATATGTAGGATCAAATTAGAAGTTTCCATATGATTAGACTAATCTCCGGTTACTCCGGTTTCCTCCCACAGTCCAAAAACATGACTGTCAGGTTAACTGGCCTCTCCAAATTGCCCCTAGGTGTGAGTGTGTGTGCATGGTTGTGTGTCTCTGTGTTGCCCTGCGACAGACTGGCGACCCATCCAGGGTGAACCCGCCTCTCGCCCAGAACTTTAGCTGGAGAGGCACCAGCACCCCTCCTGACCCCACTAGGGACAGGGGGGTCAGGAGAAAATGAATGAATGAATGAATGAATGAATGAATGAATGAATGAATGAATGGATGGATGGATGGATGGATGGATGGATGGATGGATGGATGGATGGATGGATGGATGGATGGATGGATGGACAAATAGGATCTTTTTCAGTTTGTAGATAAACTGAAATGAGGTGAATTTAAATATTAAATATTTAAATATTTTCTTATATTAGCTTACCTTCCCACACAAGTAGACCATGTTTGCGTCTGCATCATAGTAGGGTAACAACACTCCGTTACTCGTGTCCAGCTCCAAAAGTGCTATAGGCTCTTCAAAGTTTGTCTAAACAGAGTAAAAACAGCCAAAATGTGAAAGATGATCAACTTGTGGTCCTTTGCCTTCTGATGCGGTTTAAAGTGTGTTTGTTACCGGATCCCAGAGGCCGAGCTCTCGCTGGCTCATCCGGGTGAATCCGGTGGTGAAAATGTTTCCGTCTCTGATGAAGATGGCTCTCATTGGTCGGATGCCTTCATGTGGAGCCAGACGTTCCTGTTAGGAAGCACCAGGAACGATGGGACAACAGAAACATTTTCAAGAACAAAGATAAGTCTGTTTTAAATTCTGATTCTCTATCAAAATAAAAAAAAGCCTACATTTATTTTATCTATGTAAAGACTTACTAGATTTCTGTCTCTTTGGAAACATCGCTCTTAGAGAAGGAGGAGATCCCAGCAGGTTTCTATAGTTTCCAAATTAAAACCTTGACTTTGGTTCACACAGTGATATTTTCAAAGGCTGCAAACTGATATGAGGGAATCTCAAAAGCAGATAAAAAGTGGGTGAACTAAACAGGGGATGCAGAGTCACAAAAGGCCCAAGAAATTAAAATACATTATATAAGTCTTTAGATTTTCTTTGCTAGCTTCAAATCATGTTAAACGTATTTACATGCACGCTTGCTTTTGCACAATCACTTGCTTTGTTTTTACTAATTTTGAAATAACTTGTTTTTACAAATTGATCTACCTTATGGTAAATAAGGTATTTATGGTAAATAAGTGTTTAATAAACATTTACATTATGTAAATTTTTGAAAAAGTGATCCGACTCAGTTGCACATCCATTGAATTGCAAGTCAGATATTTTTATTTCTAATAACAGCACAGTATTTTCTGTTATAGTTTTGTCCAGTATATTATTATTTATTATTATTATTATTATTATTATTATTATTATTATTATTATTATTATTATTATTATTATTATTATTAATAATAATAATAATAATAAGGAGAAGAAGAATCTTGTTTTTTTATATGTGTTGGTTTTAACACTTTAATAACTTTTTGTGTGAATCTACACCTTTTGCTTCAATTTCCCCTTCGCAGGACAATAAATGATGTTTCTATTCTATTCTATTCCAGTAAACTTGTCACTGGGTCATTCTACTCCAAAATTAATTCCGATCTTGTTTGACACTTTATTTATAAAACACAACCTTTTTCACTCTTTTACCATACACCACACTGTTTTGGTCACACAGTCACATAAAATCCCAACCAAACTCATTGACGTTTGTGGCAATAAGATGGGAAAATGTAAAAAGTTTAATCGCTTAGTACTTGCTGACTCACCGCCACCACTTCCCTCTTTCGGGGGTCACAGACACGCAGGCGTCGATCCTTACAGGTGGTGCAAAACAAGCTGCCGTTTCGGTTCCAGCTGACGCTGTAGATGAGGTCCGGATGGTCGTCCATGGATATGAGCGGTTCGCCTGTTCCCACGTTCCAGATTATTATCAGATTGTCACTGCCTGGAAGCAGACAGAGTCAGGAAAGAAAGATTTTAGTCAACGCCTTTTCTGGTTCAAGCACATTACGAGTTACATTTACTCCATTATATTTACTTCAGTAAAGTTTCTTGACAAAATTTACTTTTAG